TTCCATAAGCATGTTTTGGATTCAGCCATTTTTTATTATTCTTAATATTATTTTTCCATCTTGAATAGACACCTTTTATCTTTAGTCTTTCAGACTTGGTCAATTCAGAATTTATTGAGTGCCATAACCTCTCCTTATATAATGTCTCTGCAGAAGGTCGTGGCTGCATGGCTACATGAATCGGAGCATTCATGTGATGATCTTGGTTGATCTTGGCTAATGTGACAGATAGTAAGAGATCAGCACTAGCATTAGCTTGTCTACTTTTGAAACACTAAATGGTTACAGCCAAAATTACAACTGTAATTATAAGCATGCCTGGACACTGACATGATGTTTGCAGTTTTACCTCAGGCCACCACCTGTATAAGCTTTGAAATTATAGTCTGCAAACTAGTGACTTCACAGTGGCTGCGTCCGTCTTTCATATACAGTCAATGCTTAAAAAACAGTCTCATCCAGTCACACTCGTAAAACAACCAACAGTCAATGTGGGTTTTTTAGATAACAGTCTTAAACAGAGCACTAATACGACATTCATAGATAAAAAGTCTTATATATCTAAGCAGTGAAAGTACACTGTACACCAGTCGTGCTACAAATAGCGCCTGCTAATGTTATGTAGTATTAGCTAAGCCTTATGTATGTATCTTATGTCTATAATGTAGCTAAAAGAGAGAAAATTTACTGTATGAATTTTACTGTCAGATGTTTTTATCCATTAATTTGGACCAAGGCGCTTCACCTGTCCATATCTGTCACTCCCAACACTAGCTTTAAGTGACACAGACCTGCAAGCTAATACTGCAGCTGTGTCTGGCAAACTGTACACAGTCTTTTATTACTGACATGTAAATATTTTAACAGTTTTATCACAAGATTAAGCAAGAAGTAAACTCGTAAAAGCATCGTCTCGTGGGATTTTTGTGTGCTTGTGTTTCTGTTGTGTTTCCTCTGCATTCTGAGATGTAAGATTCGAGCCATTATTACCAATAAAAGTTGCTCACCCAGTGCATACAGCTAAAATGGTTTCCCTGTTTTTTATTTTGCCTTACTTCCACGTTATGCGGCCCACTGCCCATGTGGATTAGTAACTCGCTTCCTGGTCTTGCCCACTCAACACACAGAATTTAAATAGAAATGACATCATGAAAATAAAAATACCTTTCCAAGCAGCGAACCCGATTTTTGAACGCTTTCATGCTTAATAATATTTATAATACAAGGAGTGAAAACTGAAGGCTGCCCTTCGAGTCGACCTGAACAGCTTCAACGTGTAATCATTACAGCAATTGCACTGCCACTCAGCACCCAGCCCTCATAATAAATCTTTTGTGGTCCCGTTCCTTTCTCTCATAGTCGTGCCGAATAATGATGGTATCTTTACAGCGGCTAAATGTGGGAAACAAAGTGGAAATATAATCCTGTAATTACGACTTGTGGCCAAAGTGGATGGTGCTCAGCAAAACCCATGTTCACACATCTTTGGGCCAGTTCACTTAGCTAACAGTCGCCTATTCACACACACGGCACACAGAGTTACGCTAGTGTTTCTGGTCACTTGATCTGTACCGGTATTGCTCTCCACCAACTCCTCAGGGGAAAAATTTGCTACTTTAATTTCTAAACGCTCCACTGTTTTCACAAGTTTGTTGTTAACTTTGTTGTCAGTTTGTTCTGTGCATCTTTACAAACCTTTTCATGCTGATGCAAAAAAATAATGCGGTAAAAAGTGCTATCCTCACTCCGATCCTCAACGAGTACACCATGCACACGGGACAAAAACTTACAGAACAGGTAAGCAAAACATGCTGCATGCATATCAGAGAATGCATTGCGCTCCTGCATGAGTCTGTGTGTGTGTATGCAGATTTCTGTACGAGACAGCGTGTCCCTACCGTGCTCCTCTTTAGTTTCCACCCTGTGCTCAGTTTCACTCTATTTCAGAGTTGGCTAATTAATCATGCATTATTGAGAGACAGAAGCAGTGAGTGTAATAGCCTTCACTGCAGTCCCAGCACAACGCAAAGTCGGGTCTTAACGACCATGTGTGTGTGTGTGTCTGTGGGAGCCGCTCAAGGTCGGGTAGAGAGAAACTTTGGATTTCTTTGATTTTCCTGCCCATTTTCAATTATTTAAGGATGAGTTCACACAAACGTGGGTACATCAGCCAGCACCTGTCCCCTAAGAGTCTGCTTTGTCTGTTCTACTCTCTGCTGTTCTGCTTTTTTGTGTTCTCCCACATTTGCTGGTGACTGGCTGTCTGTGTTTGCAGTGACTCAAGACAAAGCACTCTAATCCCTCTTCATCATCTTCCAGGTGGGGATTCCTGGTTAGGTGCAGTTAGCCAGTTAGTTTATTGATCCACGGCACTTGGACGTGGCATGGGTCACCTGCACGTTCCTCTTCATATGCTTCACTTCTCTTTTCCTCTGTCAGCAGGCACCGCGGTGGACGGATGAACCGACAGACTGCCCTCCCCGTCTCCTCCTCCTCCTACCTCGGTACATAACGTGGGTCGGCACACACGTGCACACTGAGCTCTGCCGCTACGTACCTTCCTCTCTCATTCGCCTCACACACACACAAACGGACGTGCTCCTTTTTTTTTCCAAAAAAAACCAAAAAACCAAAAATTTCTTGGCAGGATGAAGACCTTGCTTCAAGGGTTTAATCAGAGTCGAAGGGACTCTAGTCTGCAGGCAGCCGTTCTGAGAAATAACACATAAACCGAACGGCAGCGAGGTGCAGCAGCCCACTTTGCAATCAGACATTTCAAATACTAATCAAACATGAGGCAGAAAATTTGAATTTAACTGAAGTGATGTTGAGGAGCCATCTGCCCATTGATTAGCAGGACACCGCAGAGATCAGTCTCCTCCAGGATGGCAGACGAGATCTGCATATTAGAAATATTATTGATTCTGCTGTTTTTATCATAAATTAGTGTGATTTCTGTGTCTAAGAAGGACACGGGTGACATTTAACACTGACTGACTGCTGCTGACCTCTCCTCCATGTCCCTTGATAGTCAATTTAAAAATGGAATTTTATTATTTCAATTATTGTTGCGACGTTACATTAAAACATCCCCTAACCCTGAGCTTTTCACCAATCTGAATAGCCACAAACACTTCCAGGCTGGTTTATCAGGAAGTGCTCTCCAACCAAGCTGGAAAAGAAATAGTGAGAATAGAATAGAATAGAATAGAATAGAATATTCCTTTAATTGTCCCACAAGGGGAAATTTGGTTGTAACAGCAGCCAGAAAGACACATATACAAACAAACAGGACACAGAACACAGAACAGAAACATACACAATGTTTCTTACATATTTACATTAAGGACAATGGTTACTATAAACAGAGTACTGTATAGTACTGAATAGTTACACCATTTAGTCACAACAATAAAACCACTGGTAAGTGAAACAAATAACACTGATAATGTCATTACAATGTTCTGCTGACATGTACCCCCCTCCTAAGCCGTGCATGGGTCCCTCATGGAAGCACAGAAGCAGAGAAGACTGGAAACTGCTTGCCACGGCCACATGACCCAGAGGACACCCCCAAAGTGAACCTTTGGACCTGAAAAATACAGAAGGCATCAACAATTCCAGTTAAATTGCTTTCTACTTTCTACTCTGTAGCCATTTAAAGTACTTCTTATTACAAGCCATGTCTATCTGTTCATAAACATGCCTTCAAGTGTTTTATTCTTATCAAACACACACTCACACAGGAGCTATCTGGCATTTCGTATTTTGCCCATGGGCACTTTAGCATGTGATCTGAAGGAACTGAGGTTAGAATCGCCGCCTTCTGATTAATGAATAATCCGCTCTAACTCTCGAGCCACAGCCGCAAAGGATCAAAAGACCCAAAACTAATTTATCAAACAGTGGCCTATACTGGCCACATGTACTTAGACCTCCATGGTTTAAACTTCAAGACAACCAACTGCAACTATCAAGATCACCCAGGTTACCTTTCTGGGAAACGCCCATGCTGGACACACTCAAAGAGCTTCTGGGGTACAACCACAAACAGAGATCTCAACTACTGTGTGTTTGTGCTGTAGACACTGCATCCACATCACCTACTGCTGCTTTCTAGACTCATCTAGTCTCATTTTAAGCCTAAAACTTCATTTCACTCTTGGCATGCTTTTTACTCTGGCAGCAGAAGTTGACATATTTTGAGTAAAGAGTGCCGAGCTTCTTTAAGAATCTGCACTCATAAACTGCATGGGACATTGCTTTTTAGTCCTAAACAATAGCTTTAGACGTGTGCACTCACCAAAGCTTGAACACAAACTTCTCGGGCTGTTTGTGCTACACAGAAACTTTATGTCTGACAGTTCCAATAAAAATGTTCCAAAGGGTACTGAAAGTACAAATATGGATAAGTAGGATCGGTCAATGACTCAAAATTGGCACATTTGCAAATATATTATATATATATATATACATACATACACATATATATATGTGTGCCATGTATAATGCTGTGATGTTGAAAACATTTTAAACATGGGAGTCTAAAAAGATGCTTTTGTTGCCAAGCACAAATGGTGATTAGAGGAACTGTTTTTGGCACTTGGACATTGGCTTCATTTCTCAGCCCATGAGATTGCCGTTTGGTTTAATTACTTTCAGTGTGAGTTCTCAACAAAGTCTGACAGGAAAGGAAAAACCACAGGCGTGTGTTCTACATGTGCTACTGTGTGCTGGGCTTCCAAAATCCAGCTGATGTCACCCTTAATACTGCGCCTGACAGCCTCTTATCACATTTACTGCAACTTATCAAGTGATAGAGCATTGCTTGCGAAGCAGACGGCACTTGAAACCATTGGAATGGAGTGGAATTTTCCTCTAACTACCAGCCACGCTCTTTGATCACGACTGGTGTAAATTTCAAGCTCCCTTGTTGAACCGTGTTAAATGCCCTCCCTTGTCTCACATGCAACTCGTCATACTTTTAAATTTAACTGCACTTTGACCCCTTGTGGCACATGATCCTTTGTTGCTATATGTAAGCGCTACCCTGCAGTCCTCCTCCCCGGCTGTTTTCTTCCACTTGTGTGCATTTATACAGCGCTAAATCTGCGAAATGCTGTGAAAGCTTCACCTGACCTCGCCACACTCTGAAGGCGTACAGCCCTGCTCAGCCCTGCTCAGCCCTGGATAATCTGGAGCCAAAAGGGAACAAAGTCAAGCCCACAGAGAGAGAGCGAGATAGAGAGGGGATAAGAGAGAAGCAGCTGATCTATATGTCAGGCTCCAGTTACATGAGAGGTGAGCTCTCTTAATGCCTCACTGCTCCCCATCACAAGGAAGTGGTCACACAGATCGCTGACAGAGCGAGTGACCCGGAAAACGTGACTCGCTAATAAACACACTGCAGTGTTTGGCACAGTGATAACGTGAGAGTGGAACATAATACACTGCTTTTTTTCTTCTTCTTTTTCAGTGACTAATCTGTAACCTCTGAGATCATCTGATGAAGGGATGTCATGGAAAAACCAACAGCTCGCTAATAATCGGAGAAATCGCTTGTCTGCCCCTTCTGTCAATCATCCAGGCGTCTGGGAGGAGGGGGACACATGCACGTGTAAGATTGTTGTGAGGACATTTTATTAAATTATTGTTTATTCTGAAGTTTAACCACCATAATTAAGTGTCAAACGCTTAGGTAAACCTAATTTTAACTTTAATCCTAAAACAAGTCTTAAAAAAAGAGGCGACCAGGCCAAAAAGTGGACAAACTTTCTTAAATTTGATGGTCTAAAAACTCAAAGTAGTTCAGCTAGACATTATTCGATATTTATTTATTGGATATGTCATTGTCATTGATTTTGTGTCTTTGGTCTCCTGTCACAAATGTCACAGACTCGTGTTACTTGGGAAAGAGGTCCTCGAAAAAGCTGCAACCCACAGTGTTATGCACACATTCCCTGAGAGAGCTGAGTTTGAGAGACATCCTTACAGATGTCCTGTTTTCATAAAAGTAACTTTTTATATGATTAATTAAAGCTGCAAAACCATTGCTTACCCTCCACTAGGACTGCCACATTTCCAGTGTTGGGGAGTAACGGAATACATGTACCGCCGTTACGTATTTAAAATACAAAATATGAGTAACTGTATT